CACACACACACACACACACACACACACACACACACACACCCCAATGATCAAAAAGAAGTAGAGCTGAGTAACTTTTAGTCCACCTGTCTCTCTAGAATGTACAAAAGAGTATTAGGGCCACACAAGATTTTTTTAATTATTATTACGAGATCAAAGTCGTAATATGAGAATAAAGTCATAATATTACGAGTTTAAAGTCGTAATATGAGAATAAAGTTGCATAATGTTGTATATATATTTGTATAAATATAATAAAATCATAATATTACAAGAATAGTCATAAAATGAGAATAGTCGTAATATTACAAGAATAAATCATAATATTACAAGAATAGTCATGAAATGAGAATAAAGTCGTAATATTACAAGAATAATGTCATAAAATGAAAATAAAATCGTAATATTACGAGATTAAAGTCGTAATATTACGAGATTAAAGTCGTAATATTACGAGATTAAAGTTGTAATATGAGAATAAAGTTGCAATATGAGAATAAAGTCGTAATATTACAAGATTAAAGTTGTATTACAAGATTAAAGTCGTAATATGAGAGTAAAGTTGTAATATTACAAGAACAAAGTCATAATATGAGAATAGTCATACTATGAGAATAAAGTCGTAATATTACGAGAATAAAGTCATAATATTATGAGAAAAAAAATCACAATCTTACACGACGTGTCCATTCTCCGTTCCTCATTTCCTCCTTATTTGTATGCCTCTTTATGTGTACAGCCATGTGTCTCTGTGTTTATAAAGTAGTCCGCGATGACTTGGGTCACTGTTAGATTAATATGCTATTGCTACTAATAATTTGATGCTAATGTGCTAAAAGATTAACTATTTATTTTAAGCAATACCAAAGAACAACTTGACAAGTTGCTCAACATTCCTCATTTAAATGCAGTGACTGCATGCTTTTTCGTGTACGACTTTTAGAATACGCCTATAATCTCTTAATATTACAACTTTATTCTCATAATATTATGACTTTATTCTCATATGACTTTAATGTCGTAATATTATGACTTTATTCTTGTAGTTTAAAATAAGTTTAAATTACAGCTAATTAACGGTACAGAGACATTCTTACCAATTGTCATCACATCATCGATCTTATAGAGGTCTGACGAGGTGTTYCCGAGGGCGTTGAAGGCCACCACATTCAGGGTGTACTCGACCCAGATGGAGGTCTGSTCCTTCCCGAAGAAGCAGGAGTTTTCTCCTGCCGAGTGGTAGTCYGAACACTCGCGGATTCCATCCAAACTGTAAAACAACCGAAACAAATCCTTTTAATGACCAGGATGTAGATGAACTAAATACATATAAATTAAGAAACGTGCACTCTTTTCATGCTCCAGATCGTGTTAAAAACAAAAGGGAATCTCTTTTAACTTGCTGCACAAGTCTGAATGCAGAAATAGGTTTTAACGGGGTCAAGAGGTCAAATTTTTAAGCTGTTCCGCCTGAATGACTGACAAGAGAACACCGGGAAGGATTATGAAACGCCTTCAAAATAAAGAGASAGAATGTTTCAAAACGTGAGACTTGTGTGCAAACAAAAATAGAAAAGCCGAAAGCAAAAACTGAAACAAACAGTTAAGCAATGAAATTAAGYAGGCCCGGACTCAGAAGAATGTAATTGAAGCATCTTAATTAGGAAATGCAAAACAAAAAATGAGAGCAGAAAACAGATGGACAAACAGGAAAAAATATAATTACCACACAAAAAACATTCAAACAGAAGTAAACGGTTAAAATCAGATGATTGGATGAAAGTGAAACACTTCATTAAGCACAGTCATTCGAACAGAGGGACTCAGTATTTTTCCTATTTGATGCGACCAGAAACAAGTTTTACTCGTTCTCTGTGTGGGTAATAAACTATAAGCAGACCATCTGGTGGCCTTGTGCTTAAGACAAACACAAAATAGAGCGATAAAATCCCCATTCTGGGCCCAGCTGAGGCACTCTGGACTGTGGGTCTCCCCTTATTTCCCCTTCTTATCAGCTTTTTTGCACCGGCTGACCCACCACAGGAGGTCAAAATTAATGAGAAATGAAAGGAAACAAGCACTGACTTTTCTCTCTCGTAGTAGAGGYGGTGCACCGTCGGCAGGCCTCCGTCGGAGCCCTGCTCCCACCAGCAGGTGAACGTCTCCTTCTCTGGGGACCTGCAGCCGAGCAGAACCGGTTTCCCCGGTGGAGACGCACCTGGCAACACGGGTGGCAAACAATCACTTCTGCAAACTTAGCACCATTAGAACTGCACCATAAGCAGCGGGAGGCAGTGATCTAAAGCAACACGTTTGTGAAAAGATCATTTATTTCTGTAACCCATAGAACTGGAATATTTTATTTTAGGTTAAACAAAACAGAAGACAGTAGAGCACAGGTAAGGTCACGGGTGAATTAATGTCAATGTATTTAGAAAGGACAGAGGCTGCACTAAAGATAATTAAAACAGAAGATTTTTACTGTAATTCCTCCTAACAAGTTCTCGGACAATGTGCTTCGATTGCTGACAGAACTTTGTGAAACATTTACACTAAGGCATGCTTTGCATTCTTCCTGTTTCATGTAAACAGCTAGTTGTTTGCCTGGTTTGATCATCACAGGTAATGAAGGCAGCGAAGAACATCTATCACACTTGTGACTCGACGTCCAACAGTATCGAGCTGCTGATTGTTCCGCCGCTGTTGCTATGGATGCTATATTAGCCGTAAGAAGTGGGACTATTTTGATGCCCGTCTGACCAATCTGCTGCTCGTGCTTCACAGCAATTCATGAACTGAARGAGATTACTGGCCGTGCTTTCACCTCCTCTCGTTTGCTCGAGTATAATGCACCTTTCATGTGTCTWCATTATCTCCAGATGATTCAAAACGGAGTAAATAGAATGAACGTGGCTCCTATTTTATTGTTTYGTGTGTGTTTGTTATTGAAATATCTCGTGATCCACTGGAGGGATTTTACTGAAACTCAGGAAGTAATCAGTGGACACACTACGCTATATCTGATTAACTTTCAGAACGACCCAATTTAAGATGRMCACCACAGCTGACCTTAGCAAACACAAAAACCTTTATAAATTAGTCAATATTGCAGATATAGGGCTAAAATTTGGTGTGAGAGTRGCTGAGAGACATAGCCATCACATATTCTGAACGCTAACAGATCATATTTCTTTATTCTTTCTTAGAGGCCTAGTGCTCCTTGAAGGGGTGCATATCGCTCGCCACCTTTAATGCAGTGTTTTAAACTAAATGTTAAAGTTGCAGGCATTTTGGTTAAACATTGAAAATAACACCTTGCAGTCAATATTGTGCGATCTCACAAGATCAGTCAGCTTYAATCACACTAGTTCAATAGCTGTAAATTGGACAAAGTCAGCCATTTTTATTTTTCCTAGCTCTGGCAGCCATCTTGAAATGAGGAGAAGCTTTAAGGACAGATCTTAGAATAAAAGCTGCAGATGATTTTTAGCTAATACCACACCAAGTTTTAGCTCAACATATGTAAAAATGATGAAATATTGACATTTTTGGCATTCACTACACACTTTATTGTGGCTTCCTGCTTGAATCAAACTGAGTTTCATCAAAACCCATCCAGTGGTTTATGAGATATCTTGCCAACACAGCAAACAAATGAGCTTCCAGACATGAACTAAACTATTATTGCTCTTTTGCCTTTGTCAGCAGACGATAATTTATGTTTAAAAGTGTAACAGATTTGTTTTAAGGAYAAACTGTAAAGAGTTATCAAAGGGTTTTAAGTCTGTAAAATACAACACAGCGTCACAAAACATCCATGAGGCAGGAGGAAGTGCAAAAGTCCCTCTGAAATAATGCCACAATAGTCTGAAAATAAAGGCTATAAAACAAAGCTCAGGTCTTGTGTCATGGTGTGAAACATGATCCTAAAACTCATGTTTCATCAGGCACRTTCGGAAGAGCTGCAGGCTACATTCAAATAGACGCAGTTTTTAGTCACATGTTAGTCCACYACTAATCACATTTTACTTTACAGTTGGGCTCTACTGACTGTTTATTACAAACTCTGCAAGGTGTTCAATTTGAAAAACAGAGGTTTTGACTGATCTGTAACCCCAGTTCTAGTCTGATCAGTGCACAGTTCAAAATCTGCCTCWCTGATTTGATTTGATTTATTTATTTAACAGGAAAAGATTACTAAAAATCAAGCCTGACTCAGCATAATTGCTGTTTTACAGCAGGTTCCTGTTCTGCTGCACATAAAACACTCAGAAATACAGCACCACAATCACATCATTATACACCATAGACACAAAGACAAACAAGCATACCAAATTTCAGGAAGGCAGCATTTGCAAAATAGGACGTCTAAATATGAGCACAAYAAAAAGTGTCCAGCAGATGGCAGACAAGATTCTTCTTAAAGGGCTGTAGTTTTGAAATGGACTTTATGTTTTGAGGAATGTCATTCCATGCTTTAGWATARACATAGAAGAAACACCTCTGGCCGTAACAGTTTTTAAAAGTTGYTGCATTAAAGMCTCGCATTAATGCAGCTAACTCATCTGAAAAAAGCATATCAGTACAAAAAACTATACAAAGGGTTTTAGAAAAGGTTTTAGAGCATACGCTCCCATCTAGATGACGTTGTTTTCAGAGAAGTTCTTGCATATTTTAGCAAGACAATTCTAAACCTCATTCTGAATCCAATACCTACTTTGTACCCATGTTTCCCAGTACCTACGTTCCCCAGAATCTACGTTAACTTGTACCTATGTTTCCCAATATCCATATTCCCCAGTATCCAAGTTTCCCAGTAATTACGTTCCGTGGTACCTATGTTTCAAAATACCTACGTTACCCAGTACCTATGTTTCAAAATACCTACAATACCCAGTACCTATGTTTCAAAATACCTACGTTACTCAGTACCTATGTTTTAAAATACCTATGTTACCTGGTATCTATGTTTCAAAATACCTATGTTACTCGGTACCTATGTTTCAAAGTACTTACGTTACCTGGTGCCTATGTTTCAAAATACCTACGTTACCCAGTACCTATGTTTCAAAATACCTACATTACCCGATACCCATGTTTCCCAGTACCTACATTCCCCAGAATCTACATTAACTCGTACCTATGTTTCCCAATATCTATGTTCCCCAGTATCCAAGTTTCCCAGTAATTACTTTCCCTGGTACCTATATTTCAAAATACCTACGTTACCCGGTACCTATGTTTCAAAATACCTACTTTACCCGGTACCTATGTTTCAAAATACCTACGTTACCCGGTACCTATGTTTCAAAATACCTACGTTACCCAGTGCCTATGTTTCAAAATACCTACGTTACCCGCTACCTATGTTTCAAAATACCTACGTTACCCGGTACCTATGTTTCCAATATCTATGTTCCTCAGTATCCATGTTTTCCAACACGATCCTCGGTTACGTATGTTTAAAAATACCTACAGTCCCTGGTACCTAAAATCCCCAGTACCTATGTTTCAAAGTACCTACGGTCCCCGGTACCTACAATCCCCAGTACCTATGTTTCAAAATACCTATCTTACCTGGTACCTATGTTCCCCAATATCTACATTCTCCGGGACAATGCCTGCACTGTAATTCAGTGAATTTTTCATTTGTTTTAAAATATACAAGCCAAGCATTTTTCATGACTTTCATTATAACCCTAGGATAACATGGGCACCAGGGAACATGGGTTCCAAGGAACATAGGTATGCTCCCATAGAGACTTTCTGTCAGACCAGACCTCTCACCAACTCAAAACATTTGACACATAAAATTAAAGATCGAGCAAAGAAGATCCAGGACTCCTGCAAGAATCCTACATCAGCCCTGAATGGGACAATCCCCTCCAAAAAATCTCAGCACCTMATCTTTGCAGTTTCTAGACCTTTACAGAAAGTAGGGATGCTTCACAGCAGTGAATGGGGTTCTGTCTTTAAAACARCACACTTCTGCATGTGAAAAGTCGAGCATTCCAGAATTTGAACTTACCGTTACACCTGAGGGCCGCAGAGAGCATACAGAGCATCACCAACCCGAGACGCCTCCTCATCCTGGCACCGAACGTCACGCTCCGGGACAGCGGAGCGAGATCAGCAGCATGTTTTCAATGAGTTCCTGTAAACTCCAGGCTCCCGGCGGCGTGTTTTTACCTAAAACAAGCGAGATGTGGAGGGAAAACAGCAAATGACACCAGTGGCTGTTTGTTCCATGTTCCAACTGACATAAACAGGCCATACGATGAAACCTTGACATCCAAAGCAGAATGAATAGATTGTGGTTAATCAGAGAGGAAATCTACCAGATGGAAACGTCGAGGACGAGAAGCTGCACATTTCTGCTTTCAGAACTGGATCARCTAGAATTAAAACAGCCGGATGTGTGGAGAACCATTAGTGGTGGAATTGTTTACTTACGGGAACAAGTTTGTTTGCTTACGGAAACAGTCGAAGTCAACAATGGCATTGTCAATGGACAAAATGTTTGGGATAGAGACGTTGGACAAATCGGATTTATCCGAAGTATTCACGCTCAGATTTGTTGATGAAAGAAGAAGATAAAACGCTTTGTTTACATTGAGTGCATGCCCGCATTTCAGAACTCCCCGTTCATATATCTGGACRACTGCTGGAGAAAATACCTCCTAATCTGCACTATTTAATATAATTCAGGACGAGGAATTCAGTTGATTTCGTAGTTCGCAACAACGAGTGCCTTTAGGTGTTTCTTTTTTTAATTGGCTGATAGACAGACTTGAGGTAACTTTGTGGACTTCCCTATTCTCGCGGCTTCATGTTTGTCAAGATTTACAGATAAAGACACGAAAGAGGTTTGAAAATGACAATCGTGTTACAAATTCCTGTCAGAGCGAGGGCTCGGCTGCACATTTGCTTTAAAGTCCCTTTTTTCCACACGTTTTTACACCGAATGGAACTGGAAATGTACTGGTTGAAACGGGAACGCTCGAGACTCCAAAGTAGCCTTTTTGTCAATGCGCCGACAACCTTGAAATAAATGTCATTTGTAGCAGCAGGAGGAGGTGTGGAAAGCGCCTGAGCAAGCAGCCTGTAATTTATTAAAGGTGTTTCACATTTTCACAATTCCTTTTCTTCTTCCCACAATTGCAGCTCCTCTCCTGCGCCACAAACACAAAACGACAACAAGCTCGAGTTTCGTGCTACGACACCTGCTCTGACAAGTTTTAACAGGATCACCTTTGCTTGGGCAAGGCGGGACCTGGATGGGGCTTTATTTCTTCATTTCTCAATTGCGGGAGCAGGGGAGAGGACGGTCTCCGTGTTCAGAATTAAACTCTGCGTTTCAAATTCTGCTGCATTTTAATGGGAAAACCTGGAAAAAAAAGAGAAAAGAAAAAGAGAAAGAAACTCAACCTGCTCAAAACCTCACCCTTCAACTAAACAACTGCATTCAGCATTTTTTTAAATCAATTTAGATGTTATTAGAGAGATATGTGCAGAAATGCAGTCACCAAGGCAACAGTGTTTCCATGCTGCTCTATTTAATACATCACTGCAAGGCACACAAACATGAGTCCACATTAAGAACTCACCAGAGGAACTATTGTGTTTTTGTTTGTGTGGAAAAAAGATGCACATAATAGCAACTTCTGCTTCTTTTTATATATTAAAAACAAGGTTTCTGTTAGATTTAATTGTTCCAAATGATTTAAAAAAGGCACATTAAATTACATTTAGTGATGCAAATTGATAAGAAACACCTGGGGAATATGTTGACTTTCATTATTTGCACATTTGAAAGTACATTTTTGCTTCAGAAAAAATAAAAATAAACTCTCAGCATGATTGATTACACATTTACTTAGTTCTGCTTCCTGCTGCCAGGAAGGTAACTTAATTTAAAAGCAACCCCAGAGTCAGAGATCCAAACTAACAGAACTCACCTTTCTGAGCTCTGCGGAGAGTCTTCACTCAGCTGAGGATGAGGATAAACTGTCTTCCTCAATCATTTCTTCGTCCTCCGCACACCTGCCGAACTCACCGCCTGACGGCTCAGGTATGCTCGGCTTGACAGAAGACAGAGAGGAGGTGTCCTTCCCTGTGAGTCACCGAGGGGGGCGGGGCTTGTTGCCGTCACGACCTGCCTACCTACCTGAGAGCGTGATGTCTCACTCCACTCTGCTTTTTGAACCACTTTTCTGCATAATTTCTCTTGAATCAGTTACTTTTAAAAAGTTTGAAGAGTTCCTCTTTTCCTAAGCAAGTCCTTTTTTATTACTAAACGCATCAGGATAATATTGGCTAAAAGAAATAAATGGTAGCTGGAAATGAAGAGGACCCTGAACGCATCACAAGCTGATGAATTTATCATGAAGGCTTTTTGTTTTTACACCGGTTGTTGCAAAACAGGAAACAACACACAAATTGTAAGATGATTAATCATATTGTGTAAATTCGGGTTTAAAAMAAAGTGGTTTTATTTTTAAACTTTCACATTCAGGATGAAAGCTTTCACAAGACGAAGTGTCTAAATCAGCTTAAATTTGTCAGCAAAATATCTCTGACAATGGCTTCTGACCTTAAATAATAAGTAACAGTCCTGTTAAACAAAAGCATGAGAATATATTACATCAACAAAACAAGTCTTTATTAATTTATGGTTATTTTAAGTAATTTTTCTTAATATTTTTTTTTATAAATTAGGCAAAAATGTGAAATTTTTGCATTTAATTTGTAATTCAAGATGGCTGCCACAGTTATTGGACAATAACCAACACATGGATGGTTATAACTCAGTCAGTTTTAAATACACTAACTTAAAAATCTGTGTGGTAGTAGCTGAGAGTCATCCCCAACACAAGTGAAGCACTCGAAAGGATGGAGGGTGATGTGCAACACATGACCTTTATTTTAGAATTATCACATATCCCATGTTTTCCAGCCAGTTGTTTTGGAATCACTTCAATGCAGCAGTTATATTTTTACACTTGTTTTTTTTAAACTTGTCAGTTTAGAAAAGGGGGACATTGTATAAAACAGGAAGACAGACTGATATTGCCCCGTACATCACGTCAGCTAACATAACAGGCACTAAAAACTGAGAGGTAGTGAAAACAAAGCACTTTACCTTAAGCCGTAAATCATTAGGCCTGGAAATTACACATGCAATAAGAAAAATAACACAAAAGTTCCTCTGTTGAAATAATAATAATAATAATAATAATAAGCGCCGGAGTTTCTGTATCGCCTCAGGATTTTTCACCTTGAATAGAAGAAGCTCACAGTGACTCCCAGTACGAGGCCACTGGTTGCCTGAAAATCCCTGCAGTTTTATCCATTTCTTTATGGCTTAATCATTTCCGTAACGCTTCTGTGTTAATTGCATTCATTCAGATGAGATTTGTTTTATCATTCACAGCTGAGGAGTTTTACAGCGGCTCATAAAGACGACAAAACAAAACAGAAAAGGAGAATAAATGCAAAACGACATTAGAGAGCAGAGCCTTGAATCTTGTGATACAAACACTTCAGATTCACCTTTTGTGGATTCAGCGCAAAATTCATTCTGTCAAACAAATCCGTGTTCRCTCGTCACAGTGAGCACAAGAGTTGTTTTAACTCCCACCCGTTTATTTAAAAACAAATGCCAAATTATTTTCAGATTATCACTTTAAGTTGAACACGAAGTGAAATATCTGAGCCCACACATGCTTTATTATTGGAGATTTATGTTGTCTGCTCAATAGATTTCAAATCTTAAGAAATGTACAGGTTTTTGAAACTGAAAAAACTCCATTAATTTTTTTTAAAGGTGGAAACTGTGATTTTCTGTCAATTTTCAAAAACCCTGCTGCGCCTCATTCAGGCTGTCAAACACTTTTTTCTTTTCTTCCGATTTGACAAAACTTTTCTTCCTGTTCTTATTTCATTCTTCCATCATTTCTGACTYAYTGSTTTGGCTTTTCAGCCTTTTTAAAACATGGCTGCAGGGTAACAGACTGGCATATTTTGTGGCCCGTCTATTAGATCCGCGGCAGGTCAGCGAGGTCCTTTGCTGCTTTATTAAGGAACATTAGAATCAAATTATCCCTGCTGTCTTGACTTTAATTAGATCGTTGAAATTAGTTCTGTTACTGTAGTGTCGATGACTCATTGCACCTCGTGCTCCAGGAAGACATTATTGAGATGACATTAAGGCTGTATTTGATTGTTTTCTCGTCCCATAGGGTTTAGTTTTTCTTCTTTTCTATGTTTTACTGTAGAGTTTTGTCTCTGATCCTGATCCTCTCAGTTTAAACTTCGCCTGCTTCCTTTGGAGTTTGACAAGTCGCCATGGGAATTTTTCTCCGCAGGCGTGTTGACTTTGGCTCATTACTGAATACCTGTTGATTTCTGATTCTCAAATCTCCATTTCTCTCTCTCTCTCTCTCTCTGTTTTTTTTACATACACCATTTCCTATCTGTATGCCTCCAGTAAATCCTGCTCTCAGCTCCTAATCTGCCCTTTGTGACATGCAGTGAGTTTTTATGCCTGACCTGAATCACCAGGAAGATAAAATATTCATGGGTTACCTGAACAAAGGTTATTATGACTAACTGTGATGGTTTTTTTCCATCCCTTTCTTTTTTATTAGACTTTGCAGTAAATTTGATGCACCCCTACTTCACTAGAGATTTATCCTGACCAGATGAGAAATTTAGTGTTGTACCTTTAAAGATTTAGTTATAAACTGTGACCCTGCGGATCAGGGTGGAGTCTTTGCCTCAGGTGGAGGAGTTCAARCAGCACGGCGTCTTGTTCACGAGTGAYGGTAGCAGCGAGCAGGAGATGAATCCATCGTGGAGAAGAAAGAGTTGAGTCAAAASGCAAATCTCCATCTTACAATCCAGTCCTCACCTGCAGGGCCAGCCAGTCCAATAGGCAGGGGAGGTGTAGGCACCAGCCCTCCAGGGGGCACCATACAAAAGGGATGAAAAAAGTTTCTTTCACTTTTCTTTTAAATAAACTGATAGGTAATATTATTTACTTTTATTATTTTGATGTAGGAGTTGCGCCCACATTGGTACACAAGCAATAGAAAACCTTTGACCATATACGGTCATAGGTCGCATTCTARTGAAGGATGACAAAAACAATTTAATATGATATTAAATTGTTATTAATATTTTATAGTATACATAAGCTATTTAATATATATAAAAAGGTAAAAATTCCAGATAGCTGTTTGTGTTACAGGTGCACTAATTGAAGAGAAACAGGAAAATGTTTCATTTTACAAGTAATCAGATTTTTATCTTATTTACCTCAATGTGGATGTGATCTGACCAGAACTTATAACATCTTACAATTAAAATAAGCTTTTAAAATCAATGTAATCACTGTTATTTGCTGAACTGGCTAGCAGATGTTAGCTTCTGTAGCAAATTGCTACACAGTGTAGCACNTTTCATTTTACAAGTAATCAGATTTTTATCTTATTTACCTCAATGTGGATGTGATCTGACCAGAACTTATAACATCTTACAATTAAAATAAGCTTATAAAACCAATATAATCACTGTTATTTGTTGAACTGGCTAGCAGATTTTAGCTTCTGTGTTGAATCATGTTTAGCACAAAGTATTGACCCTTTGCACCTACGGCACCAAGACGTGGGAACGCCATGACGTACATCAGAAGTGAGGGAGTGGTGTATTGAACAGAATGACTGTGATTGTTTTTCTAAGTCGTTTTTGTGTTCTGCTCTGGCTTCTAGCCTGCTTGTTGCAGTTGAGCTAATTTGGGGAAGTAGCAGAGCTAGTTGGGGCTCAAAGACAATTGTATTTACAAAATAGCTAAGCAGTAAAATAGACGAGGAAAGTTCTGTCACAATCAGTTAAAAAGTAAAAAAAAAAAAAAGGAACGACAACTTGTACATAATATAAAATAAACATTTAGTTGTTAAAGTTTTGTTAATTAACTGATTCAGATACAAGACGAGTGTTTTTGCCAAACATTTGTTTTGTAAAAAATGAACGAACGGRCGGAAGGAAGGAACTAACAAATAAATAAACAAACAACGGTAGCTGTACAGGAGTTTACTCGCACACAGATTTATTTTGACATCTATCTTGGCGAAGTGGGCAATGGTCGCCATTTCTGCTCCTCCATGTTGTCACAGATGCTAAACGGGACGGAATGGGAGGGGCTCATAAGGGTTATTTAAGTCTATGGCTCCCCTTCTCCGCTACATGGTTTGTTCCAGCACCTCAGACAAATATTTCATAAGTGAATGTTTGTGAGATTTAGAAAATTACACAGGGGGTGCCACCTAAAAGCTTTCCTAGGTCTTCAAATTGGCTAGGGCTGGCCCCGCTCACCTGTGGTCATGAAGTTTGGATCACGACAGAAAGAACGAGATCCCAGATAAAAACAGCCGAAATGAGCTTCCTTCGTAGGGTGGCCGGGCTCAGCCTTTAGTGCTTAAGATGGTGTGAGTTTGAAGTAGGGAAGCTCCTTCACATTAAAAAAATGTCACTTTAGGTGGTTCGGGAATCTGATTAAGATGCGTCCCTTTGGGGGTTTTCTGGGCAGAGATGCATTCAGAACTCTCTGGAGGGATTCATCCCCCAATCGTGGTCCAGGAGGACTGCTGTCCTGAGTGTTTTACTCGTTCCTCCGCTTYAACTCACCTGATTTTAATAAATGGGTGATTAMCAAGCTTCTGCAGAACTTAAAGAGGTGATTTAATCAGGGAAACAAGTAAAACATGCAGGATAGCGGCCCTCCAGGACCAGGATTGCTCATGATCTAGGGAGTGTTGCTGAGGAGGAGGAGGTCTGGGTTTCCCTCCTCCACCCGATCACAGATAAGAGGTAGAAGAAGACGATGAAGAAAAGCCACAATTTCACAGCTTATCAAACCAGACGAGCTTTTAATGATGGTAACATTAGAGGGCTAGATAAGATTTGGCTTTTTGTCTTCTCGAGATGCTCTCAGACTGTTTCTCTGTTTGCAGTATTACTTTTAGGGAGCACTGAGTTTTCTTTCCTTTTTTGGCAGGCACGCAACAAAACTCTGTGAGAGGA